TGGGTTTCACGCTTTTGCGATCGTCAGACAAACTTATTAATTTTTAAAAAATTTGGGTTTATGTAGATTTCGTGTATTGGTGTTATTGTGGGAGTGGGGGGGAATTGTCGTCGTGATGTCACTCATGCTAACGCAAACATAGATGCATGTCCGTACATCAGATGAGGTACGCAGACACACATAGACACTTGCTTGTTCGTCGTGACTCATACATATATAAACATATGTGGACAGTTTCGGATTTGACATATGTATATATACGGGTGATGTTGTGTCTATACATACGCATTTGTATATTGAAATTCAAAGATTGGAAATGTAGCGAAAATTTCTCGTGAATGTCTCGTGACAATGCCAAAAATCAGAGCATTTATCTTTTTTTTCACTGAATAAAATTTTCTCGCATGTATGTATATACGTGTGGTGGGGTCTGTGTAAAATTATGATAGATAAAAATTATTATTATTTTTAATTGTTAATTTAAAAAAAAGGGTTTATTTGTTATTATTTTAAAGCTGGTTATTTGCTTGTTTTTGATGAAACTGGTAGAAATTTCGGTTTGTAATCCTTATTGGTTATTTTATTTGGTGGTATTTTATTTTATTTTGTTATATATATTAATTTATTTTGGTATAAATCCTGATAATAGGTTTTCTGTGTAAAATTATGATAGCTGAAAATCGCTATAATTTTTTATTTAAAAAAAAAATTGTTATTATTTTAATGCTGTTTATTTGCTTGTTTTTTATTTTTTTGATGACTGTGTATATGTAAGTGGTAGAAATTTCGGTTTGTAATCCTTATTGGTTCTTTTTATGGTGGTATTAAATATGCTGGGGAAGGGGGTAGTTTACGTTAATAATTATGACGGATTTATATGATAATAGTAGATGTGATGTGATAGTAATGTTGTAGTGGGATTGGTGACAATGATAATATAAGCAGCTAATAGTTATTGTAAATTGGTAGAAGTGATTAGTAATGGTGGTGAGAGAATGATAAAAACAATAAATGTAATTATTGTGGTGATAGCTTGAACTAAAAAGTGATTGTTAGTGTTTTACTTTATTTCATTTATTTATTTTGATATAAATCCTGATAATAGGTATTTATTTTCATGCCTACATTTGGAAATTATCTCTGATCTTATTGGTTTTTATTTGGTGATATTAAATATGCTGGGGGGGGGGGAGTAATTTACGTTAATAATTATAGTGGATTTATATGTTAATAGTAGATATGATGTGGTAGTAATGGTGTTGGGTGTTGGTGGTAATGATAATATTAGTAGTTAATAGTTATTGTAAAGTGGTAGAAGTGATTACTAATGATGGTGCAATGATAATAACGATAACAATAAATGTAATTATTTTGATGGTAGCTTGAATTGAATTGTGGTTGTTGGTGGTTTGCCTTGTTTTTTTTTTCTTTTTTTTTATCCGTTTGGTATAAATTCGGATAATAGGTACTTGTTCTCATGCCTACATTTGGAGATTATCTTTGATTTTTTGTTTAGTAAATTCTTTTGCGGTGTGTGTGATATTATTGCTACTTTTTCGTGTAGATAAAGTAGGCATTTTTTTGTAATGTTGCTGTAGGCAGGAGCTTTTTTCAATACTTTCCAACTTATTGTTGGTGTGATATTTCTGTCTTTTTGCTGCCATATGTATGTAGAAATTGTAGTGCTGTTCGCGTATTCCCTGTTGGTGAATGAAAGGTTGTGATTGTTATTCCTCTTCTTGAATGGACCTTCAGTGGCACCGATGTAGTACATTATGCTGTTGTTTGCACTTACCTTGGCCTTGTATATTGTGTTCGTAAGTTGGCAATTTCCCTGGAGTGGACACGTTGTTCTATTTCTGCAGTTGCATTTTGGATCTTTGGTTTCATTTTTTTGTAGGTTGTCATTTTTTTTGTGGCTTTGATTATTTCTGTTATACTTTTTTAATAGCTGTAACTGATCTTTACGTTATTTTTGTTGAATATTTTTGTTAATCGGTTTGTTTCAGTGAAGTACTTTTCTATTAAGTTTAGGAATATCTTGCCTATGTTCGTTTTAACGGTTTTATTGTATGGTGGATTAAACCAGATATTTCTTTTTCTGTTTTTGCGTTTTGGCTGTGGAGGTATATATTGTAGTTGTTATGTGTAACCACTTGTTTTTAGTGCTTCGTTGTATGGTGCTTTTTTGTGATTGAAAATGTGTATGTTAGATGAGTTCTCAGATAGTCTGCGGATGATTGATATTGGTATCTGTTTGATGATTGAAGGTGGATGGTTGGAGGATGTGTGTACGTAAGTTGGGGTGCCATTTTCTTTTTTGTACAGTTCGTATGTGTTGTTGATCAGGTTAAGAGTGATGTCAAGGAAGTTTATTGTTGTTGTGCCTGCGTTTATCTCTATTTTGAATCCAATATATATATATATATATACAAGCTAAAACACCTAAGGTTTTGACGGACAAGTATAGCTGCTTATATTTATAAGATTATTAGTATTATAAATATATATATATATATATATATATATATATATATATATATATATATATATATACACAAAAACCCCAGGTTTTGCCGGTCATTTT